AAAAAAAAAAGGAGAACCCACCCACTTGGCCAAGGACCCATGCAGGCGCAGGCGGCTGTTGATTTGGCTTTCTTTTCTTTTCTGTACATCCTGTCAGCTGCTCGTGTACGTCCTTTATTATTGTCATTGACTTTTGCCGAAAGGAGGAACCCTATCATCCATGGTTTGATATCACCCACATTTGCGCAGATATTCGCGGCAGTAGTCCTGAAACTAACAATGGAGGGGGGTGCGCCGCTTGATCCAAGACAACATTCACACCATCCATCTTACCACTCCAGGGTCCCCTAGCATTGGGTGAAGGACGCTAAGTCCCTCCTTTGGTGGTCTCCAGGCCAGGAGAGCAGAATGAAGTAATAAAAAAAATTACACTACCACTGCCGAGTAGTGCCAAACTACTACTTACTATTACTCACTGATGAAGAATTGCCATACCATGGCTCGATGCAAACAAGGGGAAGAATGAAAAAGGAGAAAAGTCCCTTGTAACACCGGCCGGTCGCACTTCCGATCACACTCTTTAGTGTATTATTCTTGCAAGTTGCGTCAATCAATATTATGTTCCGCAAATGGTACGAAGTATGCAGAGACCAGAGTGGGATGGTCGGGGCGAAGACAGGATGGAGTCCGACATTGGAGAAGTGCTGTATTATGGTTGGGACCATCATGGGGTGATTATGGAACTACTAGTGGCGACCAGGACAAGAGCTCTCTCTTCCTTCGTCCGACTTGTTGGCTGGCCATGGGTCGCGGAAACGCGCCATTGCTTCAAATCATTCCTGCCCGGCACGCGCTTCGAGTATAATTAGTAGTATTATTGACATTGATTATGATTTCATATACCTCGTACCGCCCGATGATCAGTAATAGTTGGCGGCTGAGTATTAATCTGTGTCTCATCTTGGGCCACTTCCGGACGCGTCTCGTTTCTGCGTTCGGGGCGGCGAGCTGACTTCGGGGTCTGATTGTCGACCGATGGCCCTCGAACTTTAGCTAGCTAGTAGCCTTGTGCGCGACGATTATCAAAGAGTCAAATCACGGAGGCTTTCCTATTCTTTACCTCGAACCCGAACAGGTTGGGGAATGACCATCCATATCGTTTGTCGCTAGCGTAACGATCTTTCCTCTCCCTGTGTGAAGTAAGTGACTCTAGTTAGTTCCTTAGCAGGTGCTGCACCGTCGGAGGACTTCCCTCCCTGTCCCTAGACTGCTGTAGTAGTGTCCTTTTTTCTTTTCTTTTACCCTTTCTCCATATCCACACACCCTATGCACGTACTACTAAAGTTCAGGGGAGGGGGGAAGAGTAATCCAAATCCAAATCTGATAGTTCAAGCATGGCGTTGAGAGAGTGCAAGGCCACAGGGGCAGATCAACTGAGTTGATTGATGGGGATGCGCATCCAGTCCAGCAGGCTCCAAAGGCCTCTCTCATTCGCTCGGTCATCCAAGTGCGGCTAATGATCAACGCCCGCCGCTCCTTGGAAAGACTGGGACTGGAAAGGAAACGAGCAGAAACCAGGCCTCTCCAATCTCCATCCGCCGAGATTCAGAGGGAAAAGAACCGAACGTGTCCCGAGTTGTATGACAATCTCATCCCAGGAAACGTGACAAAAAAGGGAAATGGCAACAGGCGCATTTCCTTTTTGTTGGAATCAATGGGACGTGAATCCCTGTCTAGATTGGAGAAACACTATGGTTGGTTGGTGGTGTCTTGGACGGACTTTGATCTGATCATCAGTCCCAGAGTACTACTGTGTACCAAACTTACTTGACAATACGGTGGCCATCGGTTACTATCCATAGGTACCCTGCAGATGGGCTTGATATATGCCTTGCAAAGGAAGGATTCGTGCGTAATTAATGTTTGGCACCACAATATGATCAAAAGGCCCGGGCAATGATAGTGCTTCGTCGGGCGAAATCCGCCTGGGATTATGGATTGATTGGCATTGTTGCGGAGCTCGTCCATACTTGTCGCTATAATTTTACCGAATCATATCGACTGCGTTCCATACTTCAATAATATAATGATGAGCGAGACTTTTGACAGCGCTCCATCTGCTACCGATCGGGAGCTGATGAATAGTTTGGTTGATTCGTATTCCCATTGATACCTGCAAGCAGAGCGGTTAGTTGTCCCCAGTCACATCATTTCACCACCATCTCTAAAACCACCACGACAATGCCAACTGCGGATCGACCGCAGATGAATTTGCGGACGGAATCAAATGATGCTCCATAGGTTGGATGAGAACTTGATGACGACTCAAACCAACGCAGGTGAAAATTAGCGAAGATTTGGAAAGAAAAGAGAAAAAAGCAACTGGAAACTGCACGCCACTCAATGCCGATAATGAAAGTGAAAGACTGATAACGTCTGGTCGCGGTGTATGTGGAGTAGTATCTACAATAGGGTGCTGTTTGGGTCTCGTATGGAGAATCGGAATAATCCCAAATAGTAACTAGTCACTTTAGTAGTAGCATATTGTGTAGAACCCCTGATCTTTTCCCTTTGGCGCTTCTTGCACTTTTCCTGCCTTTTCGGGGTGAGTTTTCTAGGTTCCTTCTTCAACCTTCTTTTCCGAAAATAGTCGGTCAAGTCCGCGTCGCCATAAGAAAGCACCGTAGGTAGTGATAGCTCCATAGGAAACCTCAACAAATGCATGGACGCCTCTCTGCACTTGCATATGAAAGTATGCCGCTCTGCATTCCAATTGGTATCACAGCCACTAGTTAGAAGTCTGGATAATCGCGGGCTATTCATTTAAGATGGGGGGGAAGAAGGGGGGGGGGAAAGATGGGTGAACCATCGAATCAGAGCGCCCGAGTGTTCATGCTCTTGGTCTGTGTTCCTTTATTTTTGCAGCCTGGCTTTCTGGGTCATCACGACTCAAGCGCGATACGGTGTAACAAATAAACAGAGTGGGTTTGTGGTGTTCCAGAACTTCCGGCAGAAAAAGGTGATGATGGGCTGGATGACGGTGTTGGAATTGGTCGTGGCTATTTCTGAGCTGGGAAATAAGTGGCACGCACGCTCCACTTGGATTGATCAGTGCAAAAAAAAGAGTAACTAGACTACTTTTGTACGAAGATACTGACTGTCTCTCCTCTTTCTCTCCATCCCATACTCGATTAGTCCACCAACCCCGACCTTAACTTACTCACTAATGAAGATGACTCCGGCCCCCTTCGCTTTTTCAGTCTCAAACCTTCAAGGTCCATCCGGCATCCAGAATCCAGATGCGAAAACTGGGGCTGGTGGGAATCCTTGGGTCGTTCTGTCACCCGAGCACTCGGGCGCAGCGACGGGCACAGGCAACTAATTGTGCTAAACGAACAAACGGGGGTAGTGGACGCGGCGATCGAAACTTGAGAGTGAGGCCATACTGGGTAAAAGAAAAGTCTCCAGCCTTCAATAATGAAGCCCCATAGTTAGTTATACGCTGCTCTTGGAGGATCTGACATAACTCGGGTAAACTGGTGGACTTGGACTTCCAGACTACCGTGTTCAGTGTTCACAGTATCCACTGAACATCTTGGTCATTGCTCGGAAATAGTCGATGACTATGGAGCTGCTGCTCAAGTATAGTCCCCTCGTAAGCCAAACAGTAATATGCCAGAGTTAGGAAGTCGTTGAGTCTTCCGAACAACTCTCCAGACACCGACCACCACCAGCTTAAGCTTTTTTCCTTTTCGGAACACTAATTCTTTTACATTCATATTTATTTTTCTTTGATTATTTACTTTTTCGTTATGTTCTTTTTTCCTGCTGATTGACCTTGCCTCGAACAAATTCATCTCCCTGACTGGCCATTTTGGGTTCAATGGATCTCCTGCCCCTTCTTGCAACTAATCTTGTCATTAGGCCGAACATTCATCTCAACCAGATATCTGGACCAATGATATCCACTTTTACAGGTGCTGTCATCTGCCGACTCCTCCATGGTGGTCCTTGAGACGCGAGAAGAGCGCAGAAAATGAAAAAAAAAAAAAAAAAAAAAAAAGGAAGCTCTCAGGCCTATGGTCATTAGTGCTACGTATTAGCCATAACGCATCGTATAGTCGCAAGTCAAAGTGCCTTGATGATGAGCCAGCGAATAAAGGCTCATTTGCCATGGCACATGTCCACCCACTTATACTACTACTACCTTGCTATATTCGAGTGTACATCCAATGTCCGGTTGCGGTAGAGAAATCGAGATGGTCACCGCCAGAATTAATCATCACAACACCAGAGTAGATAACTAACTAGTTGCTACGGATGTCGCTTCTGCAATCCGAACAGCACTAAAGCAGCAGAAGCAGCTACTGCTGCTGGTATTCACTAAGTGCCAAGGAACCTTCCTGGTCGCCTGTTGCCAGCAAGTACTTACTACCTTTACCCGGCGCTCTAGACGATGTGACTTTGTCACTACCTAACCAGGGTGTCTCAGCATCATCCAGTTCGAATGTGGAACTAACCGCTTCCACCACTTCCGCTGATCTAGATCATCCCTATTAATCACATTATCATTATTCAATATGATGATTGAAGTAATCCTCTTTTTATTTTTCCTCTCCCCCCTCTCTCCCTCTTGAACTATTCTGGTCATTCCTGTGGTACCCTGGACGGTGGTTCCGTTTCCCGACAGACTATGCACGTTCATTCGTGCAGAGGCCGCAACCAAATTCCTTCGATCCTGAACCGCCTTGGAAACCCATCGGCCTTCCTGATCGAGAAGGTATCTGGTCATCAATGACGAGGATGATGACGGCTCCAAGTGGTCATACTTAAATTACACAGAGTGCAGCCTAGTACAACACCAGCAAAAATGCATCCGATGCACATTTACCCTGTTCATCCGAGGTTCATTGTTCGTGATCCTCATTAACCCACCGGTGGTGAGTCTTCGTTGTGTATGGGGGGGTTCTCTTAACTTTCCGGGATCCCCTCCTCTGCCCACACAATCATTGGGCGAGATGGGCCTTGGTTAGCATCTCGCGGTGTGTTGTCGGAAAAGTCGAAAGATAGTACTAGGATGCCTACGAAAGAAACAGATCGACACTGTCGAACATTATTAATGGGGTCGACAGTAATACTAATGGTTACTCGTCCTTGTACCGCGCGGCCCCGACTTGCAAATTGATTGCAGGAAACATCCGGATCACCCAGCATCTCGCCCTCATTAATAAGGATGGTTAGATAACTAACTATGCCGCGACTGTGGTCGGGACTAATCCAGTCTTCCTTCATGACTCGAATCGACCTAGTATATTGCATGAACCGGCCTGGCCTATCACTAGGTGGACTGGTCGGATAACGAAACTCCTCGGAGATTTTCTTATCACGCAAGTTGCCTGGATGGTGCCGCTCTAGCCCGTGGGTTGTCATTCCCATCCCCAGTTTTCATCACCTTGCACCTTCAATGTGTCCACGAGTGATCGCATCACCGGACTGTGTCAGGATAAAAAGGGCATACGCAAGGACAAGTCCATAATTCGGAGATTTGCTCGGTGCTGAAGATGAGCATTTTTCGGGCCCGTCCCTTCCCACCTTGCTGCCCTTCCAGGCTCCTTGCATCTACTCATCCTTGCGGCTCGATACTTTACTAAACAGCTAACATTGTGGAGGGTAAACAAACAATCCTCATGGGGAGGATAAGCATGATACATCGCAACCACCGTGCGAGCTGATACTGCAGCTTAAGCTTTCATCTAAGCCAGGCATGTGTGCAAGCTTACTGCTGGCGACCGACAGGCATGACTGCTACGTGCTCTTCAAAACCAAGGACCTCGTCGTAGTCGAGACTCGATATCCCTTCGTTCTCCCTTGAAGGCGCCGTTGGACAGGCAGCGGTTGCTCCGGTTCAGTATGAGACGAGACCAACAATCCTTGCTCATGTTGAGCCACCATCGACCACGGCCCAAAGTCAGCATGAAGGTTCGAATGCCGCCATCGTCAGTCTGACTTTCGATGCGAGGCATAGACTACATCGTAGATTGCAACTTTTGAGGAGGAACCAGGGGAACGCATCCGGTGGTCTGATTTACAAGTCGACTGCAAAACAACCCTTATTCCTTTAGAATCCCGGATTTCGTAATCGTGATGGAAGGTGACGATGATGATGAGCATACTACCAAGTAGAGCTCCTGGAAGATCAGGGAGGCGGCATACTGGATTGGTCAAGCCGGGGCTGCTCAGGAAGCACGCGGCTTATCGTATGCTGGTCGACTTGCCGCTACGCGACCGTAGTTGATGATTAGCAATAAGCTCAGCGATGACCATTCGACAGATGGCTAGCTCAGCAGAACTTGATATCACCGTTTGCCTCTCGCGGTGGAGGCCGTCCTTTTTTTTGAGATCCATCACGATCACGAAGTCAACATTATTTACGGAGGCTTTGGCGGCATGTGCACCAGATGCATCCGTCGTAGCCACTGGAGCCTGAACTCAGCTAGGGTTCATCGCCCCGTCAAGGTTCCTCATTCGGGTTTTGTTCGCACTCTTGCCTCGCTCCTATGCTCGCTGAAGATTGTCTGGAACGGATACCATTATGGGGAAGTATCGGAAGTTGGGGACTACGTATGTACGGTCTGAAACCTTCCCCGCCGGACTAAATCGAGGTCGTAGAATTTTGTTCACCAATAACCGTGCTACTTCAAGTGGCAAGCCTCGTTTCTGTCGGGTCTTACTTTACGGCCTTGCCTTGGGAGGAGTATCTATACCGTATGCTACAGTACCACCTGAGAAACCCTCCATGGAGACACACACAAACACACACACACACCCTTCTTTCCCCCCAACTTACACTACGCCAGCTGAACGAACATCTCCAAAAATTAAGGAAATGATGTATCGATCTCTTCTGTTGGAGTCAGTCCTCCCTTACGAAACTCGTCTCACCATCAGACCTTCATCCACCCTGGAACCACACATCCCTAGCACGGCATACCGTTCACCAACATCCGTCCTTCGTTACTTCTGTCTAGGTAGAGTTACTTCTGCGAAATCATCCACTTTTTTTACTCTCCGTGGCAGCAGTCTCCGCTCCACGCAAGAAGAAGAAAACAAGCCGGGAGGGACACCGAGCCACCGACAACTTGTACCAACCCCGTTGGTAGCGCAGTAAAAGTACCAAAATCTCTTGCCCCTTGGTTCAACAGGATGGACAGATAGTACGTATTCCGATCTCTCACCCCTGCCACTAACAGAAGGACTATATACCGGTCTCAGTATGATCTGGATTCTTCCCCCCCTCCCTCCTCCCCTCCTCTTCTCTACCCACACTCAATGTCAATACCACCGCGACTGCTGCGGCTGCTCTACATACTCGAGGGAGGGGTGTGTTCTTAACCCAACCCGGAAATACCCATCGCATCCATCCATGACCCCCATGCGAACGTTTATCATCAGAAATCAACAATTAGTTACCAACCACCATCCATCATGTAAATGACCTAAATTGATCACACCTTTCGCTGGTGCATTAGATGCTGCGATCGTCGTCTCTTTCTGAGATGCTGACCGCGTCTGTGGTGGGCACCTTTTCCCATTCCTGCTCAGATGAATTGGACTCAGCCGGTTGTTAACTATCAGCTGGCTGCTTGCTGGCTTGGAGTCAAAAAGTAGTTAGTCCTGGACACGTTGGCTGTTGAACGCTTACCAGTCAGTGCTTTGATCTCTTTCCACGCTTGGTTAATTCTAGACCATGTGCTCGGATTACTTATGCGTATTGTTTACTTGTTTTGCTTTGCTCCTTCGTATGTATCATTATCAATCGACCTAGTTAGTTCAAGCTTGTAGAACAGGGCAGGGCAGAGAGTTAGTTGACTTGTTCCTCGGCTAACTTGGTCTCGATAATGATATCGATGGGTGTTAATTTACCCTAAACCTTGGAAGTCTTGACTATACACACTCACTCACTCACTTTCAGGTTTGCATATACTTACTTACACAGGTCTGTGAGACCTCACGGCCCTCTTAGTCTTAGCCAAGTTCAACACGGCAGTATTTCCATACTAACATAGGTAGAATGTACATGAACTTTCTCAGCTAAGAGCCACCTCGAGAGATGAATACCTCGTGATCAAGGAACATCAGAAAGCAGAAAAAGCAAACAACCAACGACGAAAAGCAAAGCCAGAAATTAAGAAACGGCTGCCTGACAGACAGCCTCGCAGACCAACAGTAGACCACTGCACCCATAGCAAGGATAACATACATTTGCTTACTGACTCGGTACCTCACTTCTCTTTGTGGGTATGTTGATGTCTGTCTTGAGTAGGTAGGGATAATGTATGTCTGGCGGTTGGTTATGTCCACCTCAGACGGTATCATCATCATCACTACTTCTTTATTCTCATTGACAATATTGGAATGGGTTGAGCGGTGATGCCTGAGTTACATAGAACTATTGATTGATGGATATGATTCGATGGCAGTGTCAGCCGGTAATAAATACTGTATACTAAGTAAGGCTATGTATGGATGCCAGGTAGCTGGCTAGCTAGCTGAAAAAGCAAGTGAGTATGTAGCTTTGACTAGCTTTCGTAAGGCATATATTCTTTATTCGCTGTCGATGGATGATGATGAGTTGCGTCTGGTTATTGGTTGTAGCATATACCATATAGTGAAATGGATAGGCAGTAAGTAGGTGTCTACTTATAAACTTGTTTTCTCATCATATCAATACTGCTGGATTTACTTTTATCATGACAGTCTGTGTTATTGGTGGTTGATGCGTAGCTTACTTGGCTTGTGCTGAGCTGGGCTGGGTTGGGCAGCTCTAAGGTGATAGGACTGTCAGGACTGCTTGTGGTATGCCTTGCTGTGAACACCGCGAACATGAAATTGTATAGTCTGTTTGGGTCTAATTTGCTATAGGGGAAGGAATATTAGGTGGAGTTCGGACACAGTACGCTGTGAGTTAGTTACTAGTATATATTCTATTTGTTATACAAGTTTGTATCCTTCACTTTATATATTCATCTAATAGCATCACACTGCAACAGCAGCGGAATGATAACTACTAGTAGCACTTGAGAGTATTTAGTCTCAGCTACCAGTTACAAGTGAATCACTGATGTGTCTATCTATACTACTTACTCACATCTAATCAAACTGATGTACTAGTGGGCCGATATTTCATAGATGGTATCCATTGTGCTCCTGTACACGAGCGGTAGATAGTAATTTACAAGTACTATATAACTGTCATAGTTTATATACTTACTAGGTTGATATGACTTCAGTGCTTATATATATACTATCGTCACAGCAAAGAGTCCACTTGTAAACCTGTCCATCGCTGATTTCCAGGCTAACAGGATCATCGTCACTTCAATAAGTTACTAGTGCTATCACCAGTTTCCAGGACTCAGTGAAAATCCTAATCTTATATGATACAAGAGCACCGGGGTATCTTAAAAGAAAAAAACAGTCCTATTTAATCCAAATTAGCTACTCTCCTGAGATAAGTATTAAAGAAATAGTAGTGCTAGATTCACTAGTATCATGATATCACTATATATAATCAAATACTACCTTGATAGTACTACATATTTTGAGAAAGTAGTGCATTATTCATAATTATTCATATAATCAATCATCATCCTTGAAGTTCAGATACACCGAGCCCAACTGCTACAATATATTAATGCACTATCCAAGTTTCTGTAGCCTTTTATTTCATACCGTGAGACTTCATCAGGGCGGTATCCTGTCCTAGCAAGTCAACGTATGTATTCATAATATACACGTTATCTGTGTCGAAAGGTAAGCTGGTCAATCTTCGACGGCTGGTATGATGGTTAATGATACGTAGAAGAATATATATATGTATATGATAGTAAAGTATACAGCGTAGCTTCGCATTTGTAGTGAGGCCGTGTCTTCTTCAATGCCGCGTCCAATATATATAACTATATATTTCAGTAGTCCCTGATGTGAATGAACTTAATTGGAGATGCTAAGTAGATGCTTACCTCGAAGAAGCTACATTTTAGTTTCTCTTGCTGTCTGATAATATAAAGAGGCAATTGCTTAGCCATGATGGCGAAGATAGCTTAACATATATATTACAAACTCCATGGTGGAGAATAGAAGCCTCAAAGCCTCAGATAATAAAGAGACGGAGGTCTTATTCGATGTAGCGTGCTCATAGAGAAATTGATTGTTACCTTGAGAACCTGAAATGGTACTAGGTAGAATCGCGTTAACATATTCACATCTATTACAGTAATACATCGACCACTTCTATCTCTCTTCTTGTTAACTATCTTAAACGAAGTCCATTAATATATAAAGGACTGTAAAGGAGATGATCATGGAAGGAATTCTCTTGTATTTTACTATATATAAAGTAGTGAGAACAAACCTAGTCGCTATTGAGCTAGACAATGGGCATTCAGAGCGAAATTATTCTCAATAACGGCGTAGCATGGTATGGAAGGGTTGCTGTTGGTCACTCAGTGCATCACAGGATTCAAGGAGATTTCTATATATGCGTTCCACATATACCTCTGCAATAAAATGTGAGTAACGAATATAGAGGTCGTTATTATAACTGGTATGCAGGTTAGTTGCTGCTGGAAGGTACCAGACCGGACCAAAGTCTCCACAAAAGTCGAACCATATACGCAATTATACAGTCTGCGTAGCGCTACATGCTTGCTCCTTGCATTATACAACCTCTCACATCAATTCCCCTCTATGACCTACCAACATATGCATATAAGCCACTGGAATCGGACAAATAGCTGGGATAGGGTTCGGCATTGTGTCCGGACAAGACCTAAAGATGGGTACCCAATAACCGACGAGGTGGCTTGTGGTTGTACAAATACAACTGCAGATGCTCCTAGTTGGATCGCCGACTGACAAGTCAGATATGTTGTACGTGAGACAATTGTACTACATGCTCGGAGTTGCGGTATGGAGAGCCGAACATCAAGCACACCAGAGCATTTTTGAGCGATAGTATGCCCGGTATATGTTGTGTGCGATGACCATTCGCCTTGGATTCGTTTGTGCATAACCATACAATACCGTGCCTTGTTTATGTGTTCTTTGTATGCAAACCAGGACCGTAAGAGTCGTCGCCACTGGACGATCGTTGGTGTTACATTGCATTGAGGTAGTCGTTAATTCGAAGATCGCCAAGGGACTGACCGCTTCTTCCATTGGTGTGTCCCTTACTGAACGGGAATACTTTATCTGTTTACCAAACTGTTAGCTTGAGACTGGGCCAGTCTTTAACAGCAAATCGAACAGCAGCCTGTGGTTCAAATGGGAGCACCTCATGAGCAAGTGTCTCCGACCAACAAGCATTGGGGTAGTCTGTATTGTAGGGGAAGCATCCAGAGGGCATAATGATCCGTCTCCCTTGTGATCGAGGTGTCTATCATCCTATAGCCGTACACTCTTGACTCGTGGTTGGCACCAGTTATCTCCTGCTAGCTGGGCCTGATTTCAACGCGGATTCCAGGAACCCCACTTAAGTCCTTATTGGTCGGTTCGAATATCGTGCAAGCGGCTGATGGGGAGCATATGGGATAGAAGCCGCGACGTTTGATATTGCACGCAAAGTTGAAAAGATGGGCAGTATTGACTTGGGAGGGCAGGCGATTGCAAATTCCGGCAACGAGAATCGACTTAATCGAGGCAACCTCTCTTGTGGGTATGTGGGTCAAAAACAGCACAACGAGGCCATAGCAATCTGGCCTGATAGCATCTTAGCAGCACCACAATCAGCCCAGGCGTGTATGATCGACCGCAACCACGGGAATTAACGGACTTGGGAATGGATTCGAATGGAGGAAAACGGGCGATTGAGGAAAAGTGGAGCATCAGAATCCCCGGATTCTCCTCGTTCTTTTGGTTTGGAGCTTAGAGGCCAGTGGTGGAGTGACAGAAGTGGATGTCAAACGACACTGGGGATTCTCTAGTCGTTCTAGATGCGGGAGAAGCCGGGGAGGATCTCGGGAAGGACCGTGTGTTCCAGCTAGATGGGTTGGCGGATGAGTCAGCGTGACAGTGGTCCAAACCGAAAAAGGAAAGCACGATGGGCGACAGAATCAGGAAAGAGCGGGCGGGAATGCATGGAAGAGCTGCAGGAGAATAAATAATTATACGGGATAGATAGAGAATAGTTAGGGAATAAATCAGTGGATCAT